GATTGGCTGTTTGGCATGTGACAATCATTCAACATTTGTGTAACTATTTTCCATATTTGGGACGTTCTTACCTGTTAAAAGCTACTCCTAATTTTTTACGTGCCCGTGTTGATTTATTGTCTACATTTCCGAATTCTCCCGATATCAATACGACTTGCAATAAAAATTTATTCTCCTCTAATTTTACCATTTTATGCGCAGATTATGCTCTATTACTGTAATTATGCGAAATTAGCCAATATGCTTTTGCGATATAATCTGATTTATGCGCAGACTATGCTATCGCAAATCGGCGGTATTCCTAACCGGGCCTATTCACTAGGCCCAAGCCCGACCAAATTACAGCTGTTCTCATAAATTCTGCGACAACTGATAAAAATTGTTTCGGCCGAATTCGATAAGTTTTTGATTTCGGTGTTATCGGCATTGGTTGATAACACCGAATTCAAAAACTTATCGAATTCGGCCGAATGATCATACTGTAATGACTCAAAAATGTGGGTCAATTTAAGCTCAAGGCCGGCCGGCCCCGGGCTTAGCCCGGCTCATTCCATCCCTAGTGGATACATAGATGTACTCGCCTTCGAGATTTCGTGGTAAAATTATCGCTATGCTACAGTGCAGGACACCTTAAACCAGCAAGTAAACACTAATGTTTTTTTAAATTTATTTATAAAACTAAAAAATATAGATAAATGAAAATTTTTTTTTGTAAAAATATACAGAAAGATAAGCAGAACAAAATTACAGAATTTATTTTTTAAAAGTTACTAATAAACTTAAAATTTGGCCATAATATTAAAAAAACATAATAAGAATACAGTAATAAAAAATTAAAACCATAATAAATTTTTAAATTATTACCCAATCAAAAATTTAGTATTTTGTTTTAAATTTGGTCACTCTAAAAAAAGTTACTGGTTTATTTTTTAAAAAAGTTAAGGACACTTCTAACAATAACTTCCAATACAATTGTTTATTTTTCGAATCCCTCCCATAAGTTAATACGTCATACCAGATTTACATAAATAAATAAGATCAGCATTTTTTTCAGCCCAATAAATAACTCAGTATATATAAGAAAATCTTTCACTCTAAAGATGACGACTAAACAAAAGAAAGGCATGTTTCCCCGTTTTATCTTTCTTTTTTTATCTTTTTTTTTTTTTTAGAGATTCATTTGAAATGTTGATCTTTTGATTCTTATCCACCTAGGTCCAACGCAGGTTTGATAAGAGAAGCCAGTTTCATTTCTGCTCTTCGCTTTTTCTTGTTCTCAGTAATATTCTCAATAAATAAATTCTCTCAAAAATGATAATCAACACATTGATCTGAATGGATAATAGGCAGAATTGATGTTAAAAGCATGTTCTGAAATAGTAAATGAATTAATAACAGCTCACGAACAAAACAAAGATGTTAATCTGAATGGATTGAAAACAAGATATTCGAGACTTAATAAATTATCAAATCAGCCTAAATTGGTTGACATTATTGCGGCTATACCTGAACAGTATAAAAATGCATTGATGGGAAAGCTGAAGGCTAAGCCTATTAGAACTGCTAGTGGGGTACGTTTTAAGTTAGGAATTTTGTGTAAGAGTTATATATTGATAAATTGGATCTTGGATAGCAAAAGAGTAAAAATATAAAAAATTGATATATTTATTTTATAAATAGATTGCTGTTGTAGCTGTTATGTGTAAACCACATCGATGTCCTCATATTGCAGTTACTGGAAATGTTTGTGTGTAAGCGAATTATAAATTTATAATCACATAGATGAAGTTTATATGATTCATATTTAATTTCAATTATCATTTTGGTAATAGATATTGTCCAGGTGGTCCAGATTCCGATTTTGAATATTCAACGCAATCATATACTGGTTATGAACCAACAAGTATGAGAGCTATTAGAGCAAGATATGATCCTCTAGAACAAGCCAGGGGACGTGTTGATCAATTGAAAAGTTTGGGTCACAATGTTGATAAGGTAGCTATCAAACAATATTAATATTATTTATAACATTGATGGGTTTAATGTATCCATTACTTTACCAATAAGGTTGAATATATTATTATGGGTGGCACATTTATGTCATTACCTGAAGAATATAGAAATTGGTTTATTGCCAATTTACATAATGCTTTGTCTGGTCATACAACTAATGATGTTGATGAGGCTGTAAGGTATGAATCATGTCATTTTATTTATTTTTTTTATTTACAATCTAAGTTTAAACTATATCAAATCTCTTTTGGTAGCTATTCGGAACAAAGTATGACAAAATGTATTGGAATTACTATTGAAACACGTCCTGATTACTGTTTGAAGCCACATTTGAGGTATTAATAATCTTACACGGTATTTTAAGGCTATACAACCCGAATTTTTTTTGGTTCTCGCAAAACTATAATAATTTTTTAGAAATTTATAACATTTGTTATACATAAATCCTTTGAAAATAAAATCAATACCGGATTATCAGGTCATTTTTATGAGAACCAAAAAATTAATATGTATAGCCAACCAATATCACGATATCTATATTCAAATTCATATCAACTCTTATTTATTCCTTTTACTTAAAAAGTCAAATGTTACGGTATGGATGTACACGCCTAGAAATAGGTGTACAAAGTGTATATGAAGATGTAGCAAGAGATACAAATCGTGGTCATACGGTTAAAGCTGTAACGGAAACTTTTCAATTAGCAAAAGACACAGGATTTAAGGTTGTTTCTCATATGATGCCAGATTTACCTAATGTTGGTATGGAAAGAGACTTAGATCAGTTTAAAGTATGGTTTGAATATTATAATATCATAATTTTATGCTGTTCCTATTTTGTATATAATGCTGATTATTATTATATATTTATCTTATATATTTATTATATAGGAATATTTTGAAAATCCTGCTTTTCGAACTGATGGGCTAAAAATTTATCCAACTTTGGTTATTCGTGGAACTGGTAATAAAAAAAATTTACTATTTATATAATTAATTTATTTCATCATCTCTAATTTAAAGCTTTTTTCGATTCTATAGGGCTTTACGAATTATGGAGAACAGGTCGATATAAAAATTATACGCCTAACGCGCTGGTTGATCTGATCGCTAGAATTCTAGCTCTTGTCCCTCCCTGGACTAGAATTTACAGGGTACAAAGGTAAATCTAAGACGTAATCTCATATAAATTTTAAATATGATAGCGACTTACAAATCTATGAAACATTTATGAATGAAAAGAGATATTCCAATGCCCTTGGTTACATCAGGAGTTGAACATGGTAATCTACGTGAATTGGCGTTAAACAGAATGAAAGATTTAGGTATTGAGTGTAGAGATGTTAGAACTCGAGAAGTTGGAATTCAAGATATTCATAATAAAGTCAAACCTGATGAGGTTAGTTAACGTGTTGATTAATTTTATTCTTTTGAAACCTAAGATTACTATTAACTTAGTAACTTTTAACATTAACAAGGTTGAATTAATAAGGCGCGATTATGTAGCAAATGGTGGTTGGGAAACATTTTTATCTTATGAAGATCCAAAACAAGATATTCTAATAGGTTTATTACGACTTCGCAAATGTACTACTAATTCACCACATAGTACATTTCGACCTGAACTTGTTGAATATCCAACTTCAATTATAAGAGAATTGCATGTTTACGGTAGTGTAGTACCAATGCATAGTAGAGATCCTATGAAATTCCAACATCAAGGATACGGAACTTTGCTTATGGAAGAAGCAGAACGGATTGCTCTGGAAGAACATGGAAGTGTAAAAATTGCTGTTATTAGTGGTGTTGGAGTTAGAGGTTATTATGAGAAATTGGGATATGGGTTGGAAGGTGAGTGGAACAAATATTAATTTTGAGAAATGGTTGAATTTTAATGCCTGTGGTTTAATATTAAAATTATATATGTATATACTTATATATTTTAGGGCCCTATATGACTAAAATGTTGAAATAATGTTTTACGGAATTATGCATGTTAACTTTTTTTCCTATGGTAGATAAGTTCAAAATATTTTTAGGATAGCTTTTTTTTTATTTTTTTATTTTTTTTACAGAAACTCCTGCTTAAAAGGTGTGGCTATTTACTATTTTTTAAAAGTGCTTGCATTGATATTATTTTAGAAACCAAAGAACAATGTGATTCAGAAGAAAAAATTTATTGTTTTGATTAAATTATAATTTTTTTTTTTCTCGTGTTATTTTCATATATATATATATATTTAGACTGGAAATTTAATGTTTAGCATATATTGATGATCTCACTATATTCTTAATAAGGTAACTCTTTTCATTCTTTATATTTATCTGATAAAGTAGGATTAATATTTGTTTGTTAAAAAGTTAGCCCAAAGTATAATTGTTATTTTTATTAGATATGCTATTTTTTATTGATTGTGTATCAATGTTTTTGATCTTAATTTATTTATTATAAAAAAAAAAAAGAAAAAAAAAGATTACTTACTATAGATATACATGGTTAATCTAATAAATTGAGTAATTAACTTTATGAATTTCTCCAATAAACACCTCAGACTCCTAACATACCTTTCCCGATATATTCCTTCAGCGATTATTTCCTGATATTATCCTTTCCGATAGTCATTACTTTGTCGATTCTTTTCCCGATAGAAACAGGGTTTCTAGAAAATATATATTTATACTCTTGATCATTTGTAATAACTTCTTTTAAACTCTAAATAAGATTGTAAACTATGCAATATTTGAAAATTAGTAGTTAGATTATTTAATTGACTTAAAATTCCTGTTGATCACGTGTTATATTTAATATATAATGCTATACCAGTTCATTTACTTGCTTATAATATTACTAAGCATAATAATTTCACATAAAGCCTATCTCCCAACACTCGAAATTTAACATCTACGGCTTTAATCAAACCAATTTTATTTTATTGAAATCTCCACTCTAACTCTGGATATTACCTTAATTTTAATCACAATATATATATAACACATCATAACAAATTGCAAATTGAATAAACTTAAGAAAAGCTACATCAGGAAATTTTTTTATTGCAGTTCTGCGCAGACTTGCAAATAATAAATCTGCGCAAAACTTCAAATTTGATATTATAAATGCCAATTCTGTGCAAAACTTGAAATTCTAAAAAATTTTACAGATTTTTTACAATTCTTCAAAAATCTGCAAAAATACAGATTTTGCAAATTTGCACTTATTTAATTTTTCCGATGTATACAATTAGTTAAATTGGGTTAAATTTTATTTTTTTGTTTAGTGATTGAAAGGGATGTCAATTTTCTTGTTCTATTGGTTATTTTATATCATTTTATTGTTCTATTTAAAAGGTTTATTATTAAGTTTATAGTTTATTATAAATATCTAAACTTTAATCTAATAATATACAGTAAATATTAATATATATATATATACAAAATTACTACTTATCGCCAGTGGTGATCATCACCAGTCCTAAGATTTGTTAGGGTTAGGGTTAGAAATTAGAGAATTATTGTTTTTTTAATATAATATATTATAAAGCTATAAGGGCCCGATCTCAGTTCTCATGAGGTTTTTGGGGTCCTGAACATTTTTACTTAGAAAACCCGATCCCGTTTACTTAGTACGTTTTTGAGATATAGCAACACTGGTGATGATCACCAGTGGTGATAAATAACAAACTCCATATATATATATATATAATTATTATTATAGTTATCACTGCTAACATTGTTTGTTGATTACTATTATTATTATTATTTTATTCAAAAAATATAATTTTTGTAAGTTAAAATTTATTTAATTTATATATACATGATTTTATTAACTCTTTTAAAAAATACCATTCGTGATAAATTGGCAGTATTAATCGTAAGCTGTTTCTGATAGAGATCTAAAAAAGAACCCAACCAATTTCTCTTCATATAGCAATATAGTATTTTTTAGGAATAGTACATACGCTTATACGTAGTCGCGAAAATAATGTACATTTTTGCTTGAATTAAGCTTAATTTGGGCCATTGTTTTAAATTTGGTAAATTATTTATTCTGAGGGATCAAGTAAAAGAATTTCTATCAACCGGAGATGGTTAATACTAATTGGTTAATTGATTTTGACCCTTTTTTTCGGATTTCTTTTTCGGCCCCAATCTCTTTTTTGTCTTGCGATTTTTTTTAAAATCAAATATAAATTCTTGTTATATACGTATTTTAAATATTTTAATTTAAATTAGATTTGAAACCAGTTTTTTCTATATTAAACCGATTTTAATCGGTTTTAACATATGAAAAATAAAAAACTGGTTCTAAAACTCAAAAAAATTATTTATTTAATTCTATTGACACCTCACAATGTATACAATGCCTGCCATTATTTATTAACAATTCAGTTATCTGTAGGACTAAATACAGTAGCATGTGAAAATATATGAATGAAGGGACTGCCATTTTCTTATATGATAATCTATTTAAAGAGACCATTTGACAAAGATGACAGAGATACGAGTACGTATCAGCACATATTACTGTATAATTCTCGTTCGTGGTCAGATAAATTTAAGAATAGGTGAAACGACATATTTATTTAATTGGTTGGCCAAATTATTAAGGTAACCGTTTTTTTTAAAACTGAGCACTAGATAGAAGTCATTTATTATATATATCTGATATATAATAGAAAATAGGTATAATTTTGCAAAGATAATCTTTTATATATATATCATAATGAATATAATTTTTACAATTTAAAGCTATGATATAATTACAGTATTTCTTTACAGCATACAATTTCTCATAGTACAAAAATACATTACACGTGGCTACGCTACATAGTTTTACGATAAATACAAGTACACCGTAGATTTCTATAATGGCATAGCCATATTGCGTGCTATAGAAATTATTGGCTTTCGTGACTGGAGTTGCCACCTGTCTGGAGTTGTTACTTCAGTATACTGAAGCTGTAGCTGACCGGAATTACTGCATGCAAAAAGATCTAATTTCAGGAGTTAATTTTATCCAGTTACTAAAGTAGCAATTTCGGGTAATCGGTAACTGCGTTCACGACAACGCTATCATTTACAGGCATAATAATATTTTCTAAATATTTGATATCATTTTTGTTAATTTCGCGTATTGTACGTACTTAGCTCTATCGGATATAGTTACACAAGGTCAATAGTGACACCTTAAATCCAAAATAAACAAGTTATTATAAGTGAATGAGGCGGTGTAAAAAAAAAAAGGCTATGCTTTCTTCGCCCCATAAAGATAATGAAAGTCATTTCAAATCAAGAATTTCAACGAGATTGAATAAATGACACAGCCATTCATTTACGTACGTACGTACAACCAACTCATCAACTTTCATGATGATATTTTTCTCCCAAGACCATTCATGCAGTACGCAGTTATTAATGACATTAATTCAAAAGAAACGGAAAAAATATAACTTTATAAAATTTTAAAACTAAATTATCATAAAAAATGACAAAACTTAGAATATTTCTTTCCATATTATCTATATACTTTATCACACTTACTTCACTTGCATACGCATTTCCTTGGCCAAACCCTCAAGAAATAACAGACACAACTCCTACACCAACTTCAACTTCTACGGCATCTACAAATGTAACCGAAACACCTGTAACAACGTCAACAACAGCTCAACCATCTGCTACACTTATAGCTATAATAGTTGGAATCGCAATAGGAGCAATATTTATATTATGCACTTGTTTGTATAGACGGCGCCGTCAAAGGATATTACCTAGCCTGGCGCAAACGCCAAGAACTATGATTGGCCGACCTGGAGCTTCCTATGAATCAGCCAAACGACTGGAAGCGTCAAGCTTGGAATTTAGAAATAGATCTTGGGATGAACCTATGTCAAATATTTATAAATCTGCAGAAACGCATACTGGTAGTGGTGCGGATGGTTCGGAGGTTAAAACGGGTGATACTCCGAACAAATAGAATCAAGGGAGAGAAATTTAGACATTTAGTAGGAGGTGGCATGACTAAATGCGTTGACTAATTGCATTCATTCATATATATATTATATCCGTCACATACTAATTATACATAATAGTAAATTTTATATATAAAATTATAATAAAAGTATATAAGATTACTTACTTTGAAGCTTTAATGTTTTTTTTTTTAATCTACATCTTAACTTATTTTTAAATTTTGTGAATAAATATAAAAAAAAGAAAGAATAAAATTATCTTTCATGCTATATAAAGGATTTTATAATGGCGATGTATTGCTATCTCTGATCAACCAATTAGGATCAGGTTTAATGTGAATCGAAACAATTACGATTTTTTCAAAAATTGGCTATAGCACGAAATTCCAATAGTAGCCAAAACACTTGTATTGCATGATATGAAATTTTGCCATCTAAACCTGCAGTAGCATGTGAATAGCATATTCTTAAAATGTAAATTAAATTAAAGAAAACTACTACTATAGGTATTTATAAAGAAGTATTAAAAAGAAAAATAATAAAAATAAAATATATAATAAAAATAAGATAAAATAAGAAAAAAAAAACCAATAAAAATAAAATAAAACTAACAATAAGCTGAAGTTTAACTAAGCTAAAATAGCTATATCAAACTTTAATTAGAATAAAAATTATATAATACTAAGCAGTAATAATCTTATTTTATTTTTACTTAATTATTATATCTATTGTTTTTTATAAAAAAAACTTTTGTACTGATTCTATAGAAGAGGTTTTAGATGTAGTTTTATAATATTTTATAGTTTATTTGTTAATTTTTTTTTAATTCTTTGATAGTTTTGTCGGTAGAGTGAGGGGCACAAGAAAATTTTTGGGCTTGCCTTGGACTAGAGGCATGCCCTTATAAATATATATATAGCTGATTTTCTATAAGTGCATTTTTTATAAATTCACTTTGCTATAATTTCTATAAGTATACATTTTAGTATAGTTTATAAAAAGCAAGCTTTTATGTGAAATGATCTACCAATAAACTAAACTGTCTAAGAAATAAACTCATTTATAACTTAATTGTTTGCAAAATAATCTTGTCTAAATTAAATTATTAATAAAATTATATAGATTTTATTTGATTAGTATAATAAATAACTTTAAAATAATCAAAATCAACTCTTTTCAATGATTACTTGAACAAAATTTTTTAACGAAAAAAAAGCCTATTTTTGATACTGGAGAGTAGTAATAACCTATAGTAAGGTGAATCAATAGGGTGGTTTTTATAAAGGTCAACCTTCTCTATATCTCAAGGGCTCCTTTATATATTTGATATACAAACCAAAAGCATCTGTATACAAGATAACTAGCAGAAGATGGTGCCCTCATATATGAAATGTTGGTAGATAGATAGAGGTAATAGAAGTTCAAGTTTTCTATTGACAAAGCTATTGGTCATGAAACAACTAGAGAACAATAAAGAATAGGCTTCTTTTAAGCCATACTTCTTTTTTTTGACCAAGTGGTTCCTACTATTCTTTTTTTGCTTCTCTGCCTTTTTTTCAAAATTTTTTGACAAAAAGTGGAGATTTGGCTTACCCTCTACAAAAGATTGGCATTGTTTACTTTTTAAATTCAGACAGTCTAATAGAATACAATCATGTGTTTGTTTATAGACAGATATGACACTACTTTACAAGACTTGGCTCAGAAACTCTAATTATGGTAGCAGGTGGTTTGAGATATGAGTTCTCAAACAGTGGCAATACCTGGCTCGAAATACAAATTAGAATGAGTAACAAATCTATTCAAAGTTAGTAGGAGGGTCAAAAAAGTAAACTTTAACATAAAGGCAGAGCTTTACAAGAGAGATATGCAAATGTTGCATTTGTTATATAATTTTTACCAACTACACACAGATTATAATAGTGCCTTTAGGGTCTTAGATTTCTTTTTATATTTTTTTTTTTCAGAATTTGTATTTTTTTTTTCTTTTCTTTGTTTGTTTTTCTTTTTTAGTCATTTTCATAGTTTTTTGGTTTAAACTTTCACCTTTTTGTCTTGTGCCTTTTAAAAAGAAAGAATAATTGGAAGGAAAAAGAGGTTCTGAGGTAGGAGCTAAGCCCAGGCTAGACTATATCTTTAAATACACTATGCTATATATAAAATATACCGTAAAAATCAGACCCAGGTACTCCAGATATTTTCATAACTTAATTTTGTACCCAGGGTACCTCAATATAGGGGGTATGCCATATTAGTAAGGGTACATAGATCGAGGTAAATAGTTGATTAAACTTTCATCGCTATTATGTACTGCCGTGACATCAGGCTTTCAAGTTTATTACTAGTAAAAATGGATGGTTCGGAAGACAATTTGGTGTTTGACTATAAAATCTTGGGAGAAGACCTGGCAAGCGCAAATGAAGAAAACATTGAAGGAGAGTCAGATTCCGATGATCTTAATGAAGAGTATGAAGAAACTAGAGGTAGTAACGATTGGAAATAAAGGATGAATTTTGTAAATTTTTTCTTTTAAATAAAGTTGATTTTTTTGTGTGCATGTTTTATCAAGTGTAATGTGTGCGTAATAATATTTGATATGAAAAATGTACTACTGGTAAATTTTTAAAATTTTCATGTTGAATGGCACAATTCAAATGGCAGTTTGAGTGATATTCGAATTGTGAATTCAATATGAATTTTTTAAATATTACTGTAGATATATCATATTATAATATAGTGTAATGATCAAGTATGAATGATTAATAAAAAATCTTGTAATATATTGTGAGTTTGCTATATTAGATATCATCGATCAATAGTTCTTGATCCTTGTCATATTTGTCTTACTGATAAACGACACTAATCGTAATTCAATTTAAAAACTGGTTTTTTATAACATTATATATGTTATAATTAATGTATAATGATGCATTATTCGAAAATATATCTTATACCTGGGTATAAGTCACAAACCGGCATTTCAAACTGGTAAGGGGTACACTGCATGTGGAGTACCTGGGTCTGATTTTTACAGTAGTAGCCAATATCAATGCGATAACCAAGGTTAGACATCTTTAAGAGATAGCTAGCTTTTTGTCTTATTACTTTGTTAAATAGCTTGGTTTTGTATTAAGTGTTATATATTTAATAAAAATTTTAGTATGCAGTTATCAAAGAAAAAAAAAAATACCTTTAAAATAATTTATTAAAGTCTAGACATAGATCTTTAGAAGTGTATATTTTCTCAACAATATTTATTTATAAAAGGTTTACTATAATAATATTATCTTTAAAAATAGTTAAATTGACTAATTAGAAAATATGCTTACTTAATATATGTTTTTTAAATATAAAATAAAATAGGCATGCCTCTGGGTATGCACAAGAGAGGACATGCCCAAAAGCCCTGTACCCCTTAATTTACTTGTTGGTGCTCAATACAAATTATATTACTATTGGACTAAAAACAAAGTTTAAAGAAATTTCTAATAATATCTAATTTAAAATTACAAGCCTAGCATCACCTAGCTACATCTTGTATACTCAGATGAGGCTTGTTGCACCAACTCACAAGTAGGTTAGAAGACCTTGTCAGCTCTATTAAGAACTAAACTTAAAAGTAGTTGATCTATTCTCAACTTATTCACCAATATTTATTTCAAATAACCTTTTAACTTCAGCTTTTCTTTCACTGCTTGCTGCAACAACTATACTACTTTGATCATTTTTACTCTTACTTTTTCTTATTTTCAATGTTGCATACTTGCTAGTACTATTTGGAAAGAACTTTTTCTGGTTATTTCTCTTCATTGCCATATTTATACTATTCTCTTTTTTTCATACAACTACAGCTTTATATCTAACTTGCCAGATCTCTTCAAGAAAACTACTTTCTACAATTATCATATAACTACCTAATACCCAGTTTGTGACTTTTCTTAGTAACTGTAGGTCTAAAAGCTTTGCTACTACATTGTTGAGCACAAGCCCTAATATAGTTTTTTTTACACTTAGCCTGCTTTTCAGATATATTACCAACAATTGTTATCCAGAATACTCTAATAAATATCACTCTTTTGTATACACTATCTATCTTCTTCCATGTGGTTTTACATGCTAGCTTCTTTATAATATTCTAGTAATTAGCATAACCTGTACACTTAAACAGGTAGTTAGCTGTTTCTCTCATGTATTTACAACTCACACATGTGTTTTCTAGATATACTTCTGGCTTTTTTAGCTTTAGTACTACCAGAACTAGTAAGTTGTTACTTATATATTTAATTTGAAAGGCTATATCTCTACTTGCTATATATGACTTGCACTTAATTTCTGTTGTTTTTCTATTTTGGTATTACAAAGCCTTCTAGCTATGATTAGTGTTTGCTTCATTTTTATATACTTTGATAGCATTTGAGCTATACTACTTCACACTAGTTTTAAAACCCAAAAGCTTTTTAACAAGTTTTCTTGTTTGTTTTTTTAACTAGTGTTTTATTTAAATAAACTATATATACCTTGTAATAGTTTTTTTTCACAAGCAGTACTGAGTATCTTCTTTGCCAGTTGATTAGCTTTTTCATTCTATTTTATCTTATTATATGCTTTTATTTTGACTAACTAAAGAAGTAAACTTTTCGATTTATAAATATTTTTAATATTAACTACTAAGCTAGCATTTTGCTTCTTACTTTATACTTTTATATCTATAAGTACTATCATATTGTTTAGGCTTGCAATTGCTACAGTACTATCTAATTTAACTACAACTTCACTCTTATATCTAGCTATCAAAACTGCTATTCACACTGCTACTAACTTAGCTTTTGTTAATGATGGCTATCTACCAAATCTTATTTTTCTCTTTGCAAATATCTTTTTCTCCAAACTATCAATCTGTACCTAATCTGCACTTATTCTACAATCTATTTTATTTTAAACAATAACCTATCTATATAAAATATACAACTATCTAAATTTCTATTACAATTATTCATCACTTGCT